GTATTCTTCAGGATGGGCATAGGCCGGATCAAACTGGCTTCCCTCTCAGCTGTTCTAGTATACTGACATGATTAACGATTTAAGTAACTAATAATACTTAAAGAGTAGAGAGCAATTTCATAGGAAAAACAGTACTATTTAATAATATGAGAATCACCTTCTTAACTGCAAGAAGTCTGCTAGTTACATTTCTATCCCCATCCACACGTTCATATTGGTCAAGATCCCCTTTTCTTTCACGCTCTCCCCTTTCTGACTCTGAAACACAAATCAAAATTTGGGCTAAATTTTTCAGGCGATGTAACATGTTTTCCCTAGTAAAAGAAATTCCAAAATGAAGTTAGAATTGTGGTTCTCTGAAAATGCCCTTCCCCATATTAAAAACAAATAAGGAATCTCAAATCTTTCATGAGATCTCAACATATAACAATTCTCACAGGTTCACTCTTGGATTTAAAATCTGAGAAAATATACCAGGACACATATCTGGACATAAGCCAATAATTACATTGGATGTTTCCAAGACTTCATTATCAGCAACAACATGGGCACTGCTAAAGTTGCTAGCTGAATCCACTAAATGCCCCCTCACATATTTCGGCTCCAACACAGACTGTTCAGATCTACTAGCAAATGCCTTCTGGTCGGGAATATCAACATTATTTTGCTCAGATCTGCTTAGCTCTACTTTGAACCGGGCTAAACGCTTGGCCTTGGCTAAAATTTCACTGCACAGCATACGAGGAAAGATACTTTAAAAATAAATAATGTAAGATAAAATAAATGCATGATGAACAAAAAATAGAGCCAAGCTAATATTATACCGTTCAGAGTTGTCTTCAGAGGAAATTAAGTTTCCTTCAAGGGTTTCATTGGCTGCAAATGACGAAGCAGGTGATCTTGTTCTTTTAGAAGCAGTGGAGTTCATGGGTTTGCCTACAGTGGCTTCAGGAACATTAAACGGAAAAGATTTCTGGTGAATTTGAGAATGAGGACCAGTCCTTGGAACAGTTGATGTGCTTCCCAGTCTAGGAGGAGATAAAGAAGGCCTGAAAAATGAACCACTAAACAGGCTCAAATAATTAGAGATGGGACCTCACATTTTTCTGGGAAGTCCTGGATTTAGGATGATTCTACACATGCACATGAGCATAAAGAGTCTAAAGGATTGTTGTGCTAACAACTCAACACAGGGAAACACCAAAAAGGGCAAATCAATCCCTTTCAATTACTCATTTCAGTTTATATAGAACCTTGAATTGAACAAACTGAGACTTGTATGGCATTTTCATGGGAAAAAGGTTGTTCATAATAAAGTTCAAAACAACAGGGCAACTGAGATAATTGCTTAAACTCCACCCCAATTTCGGACTGTCTTAACATATTTCTGCTCTATAAATACAATATTCCAATAAAAATGCCTAATAAATAATAAATTTATAGAATCATGATAGTATTACAGTTTATAGGTGATATTGTCTTACTTATTTATCGTGACAGGTTGATCAGAATTACCCAAATCTTCAACATCTGCATAAGATATAGGAGGCGATCTTCTCTCCGGATTTGGAAATCCTGAAGTTCTGGCTGTAAGACCAGTAGTGGAATCACGAGAAGAAATAAATGTTGTGGCTGGGGAAGGCCTTTGAGGGGTATGGGTCTCCAAATCTTTATAGAATATTTTCTGTTCATCACTCCAACTGGAAGAATCAATGGATCTGAAAGAGAATGTGAACTATGAAAATGCATCATGCAATGAACATTTTAAACATAAACTACACCCACAAAAAGAATGTCTAGTCTAAAATAAACATATGTTCGAGTTGGAAATAAATGCTGGTCAAAAAGTGCTCTTAGTTTTGCCATAACATATGGAATGGGAACTTTTATAGTGTCTAAAAACAAAAAAAAAATATTATCACCACCAAAAGTGTACATGGAATTGTTTGAATTTTATCCAAACCTAGTATTAAATATTACTCTAACCATGTTATCCCTGACAATATTTTCAGGGTTTAATGCCTTAACAGAAGTCAATACAAGGACATTAACCTGAATTTGAACAAAACAACGCATGCATTAATGGCCAAGACTTATCTCACTAGGTTGTGCTATTTTAAACGATGTAATAAAAAGTATGGGGGCTATTTTAATGGTTTACACAGATCCATTCAACAAGTTACACTGATATTTCACTCCGGTAATTTACTACCCAACATTCACTATCCCAAGAAGAGTACCGTAAGTGTTTTACTTGAACAAAAGAAATTCCATTCACAGATTCACTGACAAAGACGCTACACTACACCATCACAGATTACATCTGAAGCATTTCTCCATTTTATCTATCCAGCTTAAATACTACCTATGTTTAGCACTACATCCCCAGCAGTTGAAGGGTATTAACCCCAGATACCCAAATCATGCAATTCGTGGTATAATGTGATGTGATCCCCAATTTTCACCTCCAAAACACTGATAACATATAACATTTCTGACTCCCTATTCAATAAAATAACCCGAACACAACAAGGAGCCAAAAACGCTTGAACCCTTCCAAATGCAAGCAACAAATTACAGTTGCCAGACACCCTCGCTCTTCTTTAACAAAAACAATTCAAATCAAAATATAACCCTTTGCGGAAGATTCACATGTTCTAATATACAAGAAACTCTCGTAGCTCCAGAAAACAGGCAAGGGAAAGGGTTAAATGCAAATCGATTCAAATTCCTCATCCCATTTCAACGTGAGTACAAAACCCACTAACAAGATAAAGCTTTCAGGGTTTAAATTCAAGATATCAATGAAATGAAATAAAGGTTGTTGAAGAATTGACGTACCTGGGCGTGGATTGTGACGAAAAAGCAGGATCAGGTGAAGAAGTAGGAGGGATAGGAGAAGGGTTGGTGAAACCAAAAGAGTATGGAGAGTCGGATTTGGGAGGTGCACTGGGTCCTGAAGCCTTCCCGAATCCCAAATACGACGACATTCTTCTTTTTCTTCTTCTTCTATGAAACAACTATTCTGTTTTGGCACAGAGCAGAAGCTTCTTCTTCTTCTTCTAATGACCTTTTCTCCTTCTTCGCTTGGATTCGGGATAAAGAAGAAACCGAAAAACCAGGTATCGTTCTTCTTCCCTTCCCAGCGGGACTGAACTTTTAAAACTTCTATGGGTCTTATGAAAACTCAAGGTGATGAAGCGAGTGAAGAAATGAAGCAAGACTGTTCAGACAGGTTAAAATTTAAATTCTTGAAATTTTAATTAAGTTTATTTAGAGGAGTATTTATTTTATTCACAATATGATCAGGGAGCTAAAATGATAATCCAGATAATTTTGAAATGAACATAACATAGGGTAAGAAAAAAATATATAATGTAATAAGAAAAAGATAAATTATTAATCTGTATTTGACTAAAAAGTAAATAAACAAAAGTTACAGTAAAACGATATATTATAAAGGAAAAATAAATTTCATAAAGCAAGACTATACTTAAAGGTGTTAAAGCTGGTAATCAGGTTCCCATAAGTAGTTAGTCATTTAGTGAGCCAACTCAACATGATTATATATTTGTAAACTGAAAATTTTCGAACCCGATTGATGGTGGGTTAAACGAATTGACTCACTAAGTTACTTAAATATATTTTTTTAAATAAAAAAATTATAATTTTTTAAATTTAAATCTAAATAAATTTTACTCTAACTCCAAAGACATTTTAAAATAAATATATAATATATATCATTTAATTCAATTATAATCCAAAAACAAACAAGCGAACAAATAAGTTTTTAAAATTGATAATTTTTGTATCACTTATCCTTCTATAATATTAGAGTCTTGAAAAGATAAATCTATAATTTTTTTTTAAACATTTTTTTATTAAAGTTTTTATCTCATCTACACTTTAATAAAAAAAATGTTAACTAATAATATTGAAACACTAAATAATAAATAATTAAATTAAATTAGGTGGAGAGTCAATCCGAATAAACTAGATTTTAAGTAAACCGAATTGAAAACTAACTCACATAAAAAAATATATATTTTTTTTAAACCTAAGTCTGTTCAAACCCGTGATGACAAAGATTAACTCACGGGATTAGCTCACGGGTTATAACTGATTTTGAGAGTAATACTAAACCCTTTAAAATGTACCAAACCAAAGGGTTACAAGGATAACTATTATCCAATTTTGTCACGCTGTCTACCAAAACTATGTAATTAAGTGTGTTTTATATTATTTAAATAGTAAAAAAATCCTTTATTTGTTATTCAATTTAATTTTCATTATTTGTAAATTTATATTTAAATGCTGTCGAAGACTATGATATTATTTATCGAATATTTCGTATCGGAGAACTTCGTCAATAAGATCACTATTGAATGTTTTATAAATGAATTATTTAATCGAATATCATATATTAGGAATTGAGAATTATGTTTTCTATACCAAATATTGTATCTACTTTGATAATAATTTCGTTCATTAAATTAGAATATTTTCTACCCGTCTCTTATTATGGCTGCTAAGAACATTTTTTTATTTATAAGGTAGCCATGGAACATCTGAACACCCATTCTAATAGAATTTATAATCAAGGAATAAATATATAAATAATGTTATAATCTTAATTTGACATTCACTCTTATATTTAATCAAGATTTGAGCAAAATATTTGAGTAAGTAATAACTTGAGCTCAATAACAAAATCTAAAAACAATATTTCTAATAGTATAGGTACAGAAATTACATTTTTCAGTATTTTGAAACCATATGTTCAACCAACCATTATAATTTGTCCAAAGAAAATTTTTGTTATGTTTTTGGTGTTTTTTTTTTCTTCAGCAGTAGCGTAACTCGTGCTGACACAAGCATGAGAAAGTAAGCGCAAGAGCGTGTCAATAATCTTATCACATCTGTCTCTGTCTAGATCCAATTTTCTGTCCAAGTTCATTCTCCAGGAAAATGATTTTAGTATATATATATATATTTCCCGTTGTTGCTTTTCCAATGGAACTGGGCTCTGTAATTTGGGGATTTCACCACTCTGAGCATCAGCGAAAAAATGGCAGCACCAACGCCGATTAATAAAACAGAAGAGGAATGGAAGGTGATTCTCTCCCCGGAGCAGTTTCGGATCCTTCGCCAGAAAGGAACTGAGTAAATTTCTAATCTTTTATTTTATTAATTTTTCTCTCTCTTTTTTTTTTCATCCGCACTGGGGGAGAGGGGATTTGAAAATTTGGATATGAATTGAAGTGCATGATTTTTCAAAAGGTAGAAATTGAAGGTCGTGTTCACGGAGAAGGAAGATCGTTAAGTGTGAAGTGTGGATAATTTATTGAGCACTTCATGGTTGGGATATGCTCTTTTAGGGGTAAATGAATGTGACACCTCTCATGTAGATGCGTTTCTGTTTTATGCAGATTTTAGTTGGTTTCATGCATTCCCTGTCGGTAGTGTTTTATTTGAAAAAAAGCTTTTGTACATTTAGTTCTCCTTTTTAAGTCACTGGCCTTAAGAAAAAAGGTAAGATTTACTTTCTGTAAAATAGTTCTGACCCTAAAATGTTTGGAGCTGTGTCAAGGTTTATCATTTTGGTGTTAATAGCAGGGACAAAACTTATTTTTTATGCAGTGTAGGAATTAAAAATTCAGTTATCTTGGATAATATGTTTGTAGGTATGTGTATTGCATGCCATTTAGGCCTACATGATATCCAATTTTGTGAGCTTAAACCCCCTTTAAGCTATGAAATTGGTTTACATGAGTTTGATTGTAAATTTTTTTTCACCCGAGAACTTGTGCAGATTGAAGGGTACGGGAGAATATAACAAATTTTATGAAGAAGGAGTTTACAACTGTGGTGGCTGTGGAACTCCTCTTTACAAGTCTTCAACAAAGTTTGACTCTGGTTGTGGCTGGCCTGCTTTCTATGAGGGTTTTCCTGGGGCCATCAACCGCTCTGTGAGTGGGTTTTAAAAATGTTCATTTTTTCCTTCTTACAAGTAATACAGCATCATCTTTGTTTGGAAATTGTAATTGTATTGAATCTATGGAAGTTGTGATTTTCAGCCTGACCCAGATGGGAGGAGGACAGAGATAACTTGTGCAGCCTGTGGTGGGCACTTGGGTCATGTTTTCAAAGGAGAGGGATTCAAAACCCCAACTGATGAACGCCATTGTGTGAATAGTATTTCTGTCAAATTTGTTCCAGGAAATGCTACTGCTTCAATATGAAACCTTCTTCTATTGGAGGTGTTTATTGAAACATTGTCTTTGTTTGAAGTCTTAATTTGATTTTTAAAGATAGCCAGCTTAGCCCAGTGTCTAAAAGCTTGAATAATTGAGCATGGACTGTAGTTCTTGAACCAATAAAGTCCTCTGTTTTTTTAGTCATCTGCATGACTTTCTGTTTCATGATTTGGTAGGTCTTCACATGAATCATACATATCAACCTTTTAATCATTCACATTGTACACATTTAAATATAAAATTTAGTATACGGATTAATTAAAATCTCGTCTCGATCACATTTGATGATTCTAGATTAATTTTTGAAATATCTAAAATAAGCATACACTATGCCTATGTGACTTCGAAAAAGTTGGACTTGTCACAATTAAGAGAAAGTGCTTCTTGCATCTGAAATTTTTCAGGGATCATGTTTCGCCGATTTCAAAACGAGTTTTCCTTAATGGAAAAAAGCAACCTGGGAAAGCTTATTCTAAAATGAATATAAGTCCTGATAAAAAGATAGCATACGACCTGTCACATGTTTCTTTTGTTTTTTTAGGATACTGAAATTTCTTTGTTTAAATAATTTCTTTTAGTATATAATTTAGTTATATGTGGTATTATTTTTCGTTTTTATACTAAAATTAATTTATTTTATCATTATTATACTTATAGAAGACTGTCAATGACTAAGGAATACTTCATTTACATAAAATATCCATGATCTAACCATTAATATATACTTCATTTACATAAAATATCCATAATCTAACAATTAATATAGTAAACTTAAAATATGATATGAAATATTAAATATACATATATCAAAATAAGGTACCATGATTTATCATAATTCATTGTAAAGTTCTTTTGTTCAAATTTTCCGTCCAAATTCATACTATTACCCCATCTGTCACTGCTCCCGAATTTTTCCGTCCAAATTCATTTTCCTGGGAAATGTTTCTGCTATAGATTCCTCTGTTGTTGCTTTTTCCAATGCAACTGTGCAATGTAATGGCGCCTTGACCAGTCTGTTGTTGATTTTTCTCAATGCAACTGGGCACTGTAAAAAGCTGTCTTCACCAGTCTGTTGTTTTTTTCAATGCAACTGGGCACTATATCAAGGGCCTTTCGATGTTATGAAAAAAAGTAAACTTCTTTGAATGGTGAGAAAAAAGGGAAAATTAAAAGAAAAATAAAATGAAAGGTAACTTACATATTAAAATTTGAGACATCCATGTAACTTACATATTAAAATTGTCTATTATGATTCTATTTACAAAACTAAACAGAACTATGTTTCAATGTTTAAAATAAAAGAATATGTAAATAAGCATTTATCATAATCTTATCACTACATTTCTTCTAATATAAATCATGTTTAAAAAATATAATTTCCCATTAAAATTACACATTCATTTTTATAAGAATACTTTTAACTTATACTTTCTTACAAATTTTTAAAATTATAAAATATTAACTTGGCACGATAAATTACAATTCATACAGTATTATTCATTTCTATCACATCGGGTCCACACAAAAATAGCCATTATGTTTAATTTTCTGTTATTTTATTTTATGCTTGAAACACCTTTATGTTTTTCTTTTATTTTATCTTTAATTTTCATAATTAAATTTTAAATTTTAGAAACAATATTCTTAAGAATACAGGGATAGATATTACACTCTTTTAGCATTTTGAAAATAATGTTTGATTGACAAATAATTTTTTCTCCAAAGAAATTTTGATAATTCAAGCGAAGTTAAAGGGTAAGTTTAAAATAATTTATTGAATCAAAATAAAAAAAATACATCAATTACCTAAAATCTCTTTGTTCTTTTGTTGGGTGTTTCATCCAGGAACTCTAACTCTTTTATCTTCCACTCCAAACTTTAAGGTCATGTTTTTTTAGTGGATTTGAGAGAATTTGAAGATAAATTTTGTTGTCGTTTATTTGAGTAAATTTGGAGTTAAATGAAAATGAATTGAAAATAAAATTTGTGAGAATTAGTATAGAATTGTATGGACGTGACAAATTAAGAAAATTTATTTCTAAATTCGTTTACCTCCAAATTCACTCAAATAAATAACAACAAAAATTTATCTTCAAATCCTCTCAAATCCATGTCAATTTTACTCCTAATTAAAAATATATTTAATTTCAAAAAAATTAAAAAGAATTTGATTAAAGATTCTTAAATAGTTTCATATCATCCCTAATTTGCACTTCCAATTTTTTTTGAAAAATTTAATTTTTAAATTTAACAAATATAATTTTTTTAACTTTTTCTCCTACATTCCTTTAACAAGACATTCTTTTAACAAATTTTAAAATATGTAAATTCTAAAATCTAGTAAACCTTTTTTTAATTTTAATTTTTTGATAAATAGTTTCAGATCACCTCCAGCTCCAACATTTTTTAAAAATTTAATTTTTAACTTTAATAAATATAATTTTTAAAATTTTTTCTCCTACATTCCTTTGACACGACATTTCTTTGATAAATTTTAAAATATGTAAATTCTAAAATCTTATAACTTTTTCTAATTTTAATTTTTTTTAATAATTTAATTTAATTTTAAATTTTAATATTATTTAATATATTTTTTAATCTTAATAATTATTAAAATATAATTTTATTATTATAATAGTTAAAAAAAATAATTTAAATAAAAGTAGTAATAATAAAAAGAAGAAATAAAATATATAATCTAATTTAATATAATTAAATTATTTTAAATATTAAATTAAATTTATTAATTATTAAAATTTAAATAAATGAAAAAATGGTTAACCGAATATCCGTTAATATATATGTTAATTTAGAAAGATAAACAATTTTTTTTCCAATTTTTTTTTATTTTAAATATAATAATAATTTTAAATATACAAAATCTGATTCAAAATTATTATTTTAATATTTGCTTTATTACTTTTATTATTAACACTTTCATTTTAATTATTTTAATTTCAACTTTTTTAATAAAAAATATTCTAAAAATATAAATCATATTTTAATTATTATTAAAATATAAAAACAATTTTTTTTCCAATTTTGTTTTTTATTTTAAATATAATAATAATTTTAAATATACAAAATCTGATTCAAAATTATTATTTTAATTTTTGCTTTATTACTTTTATTATTAACAGTTTCATTTTAATTATTTTAATTTCAACTTTTTTAATACAAAATATTCTAAAAATATAAATCATATTTTAATCATTATTAAAATATAAAAATACTATAAATAGTATTAAAATTTTTAAATAAATTAAATAATTATTAAACTTTAAATAAAATACAACATTTTAAAATTAACTTTTATCGGTTGTTGATATCCGATAAAGAAATATTTTGGGTTAAATATGTTTTTAGTCCCTAAACTATTGGCCGTTTCTGGTTTTCGTCCCTCTTCCAAAGTAAGGTACAATTTGGTCCTCATTCTTTAGAAAAACGTTCGTTTTAGTCCTCAAAATTTTGTTTTTAGTCCTCGTCGTTCGTTTTTTCGACTAAAACGAACGTTTTTTAAAGATTGAGGACTAAATTGTACCTTACTTTGGAAGAGGGACGAAAACCAGAAACGGTCAATTAGGGACTAAAAACATATTTAACCCAAATATTTTTAACCTCGAGTATTGACGTCAGAAAGTTTTTCAATATTTAGTTTTCTTTTATTATTAATACTTTTTATTTTAATTATTTTAATTTATTTTCTTTTAATAAAAATATTTTAAAAATATAAATCATATTTTAATAATTATTAAAATATAAAAATACTATAAATAATATTAAAATTTAAAATTAAATTAAATAATTATTAAACTTTAAATAAAAAATAATATTTTAAAAAATAACTTTATCATCCGATAAAAAATATTTTTAACCTGGGGTTTTGATATCCGAAAGTTTTTCAAAATTTAATTTTCTATTTAAAATTTAATATTATTAATTTAATTTATATTTTAATATAATTTAATATATTGAAGTATATTTAATTAAATTTTATATTAATATTTGTTCTATTATTACTATTTTATTTTAATTATTTTAATTTTATTGTTTACATAACTATTATTATAATATATTTATATTTTAAATATTATTAAAATATTAAAGTATATTAAATAATAGTAGAATAAATTAGATAATTATGAAATTTTAAATAAAAAAATTAGAAAAATATGTTAACCGATTTGGATATCCGATTAACAATTTTTTTTAAAATTTTGTTTTTTATTTAAATTTTAGTAATTATTTAATTTAATTTACTATTTTAATATAATTTAATATATTTAAATATATTAAATCGGATATTATATTATTGTTTTTTTCTATTTTTATTTTCATTATTACTATTTTTATTTTAATATTTTTTTAATATAACTATTATAATAATAAAAACTATATTTTAGTAATTATTAAGATAAAAACGTATATTAAATAATACTAAAATTTTAAATCAAATTATATTATTATTAAGTTTCAAATCTAAAAATAAAATTTAAAAGAATTATGAATGGGATTTCGAAATTTATATATATTTTAAAATGTATTAAAGGAATACAGTGTTAAAAAGTACTTTAATAAGATGAGAAAAAATTAAAGAAAATATATTTTTTAAGGTTAGAAGTTGAACTTTTTTAAAAAATAGAGTAAAATATTTTGAAATTGTTTAATGATTTTTGACCAGATTCTTTTTAATTTTCTACAAATTAAATATATTTTTAATTAGGAACGAAGGTAATATTTTCTTAAAGTTTGAAGGGGGAGGTGAAAGGGTAGAGGTGAGGGTGAAACATCCTCTTTTGTTTTCTCTTGAGCCCACACACTCGATCATTGGGCCTTTTAATTTTTTTTTGACAATTACTTCCTGCATTCCATATTTTCTTCTTCTACCCTATCATTTCTGGAATATATTTTCTGGTATGGAGTGGAGAAGAAATTTGACCGGAATGGAGGAAGTGATTTTTTTTTTTACCAAAAACCTATTTTCTTTTCCTATATTTTTTTAGTAGTAGAGTAGGAGGAAAGAAGCTCAAGAGCGTGCCACGTGTCCTTTAATAAAATGGCAGCACGAACTCTATTTATAAAACCGAAGAGAGGGGATTCTCCCCCGAGCAGTTTGAGATCCTTCGTCGGAGAGGAACTGAGTAAGTTTTTTTTTTTTTTTTTTAATTTCTTTTTTTTTCGTCCATGTATTGTTAGGATAGGGGATTTGAAAATTTTGGTTATGAACTGAAGTGCATGATATCTTAAAAATTGAAGGTTGTTTTCTTGGAGATTCGTTTTTGTTTTGTGAAGCTTTACTTAGTTTCATGCATTCTCTTCTCGGTATTGTTTTATGAGTTTTGGTTTTTGTGAAACTGTTGCAGTTAAAATGGAGCAATTGCCGGAGAACCGGAGCGAAGCAAAACGTTTGGCGCCGCCGCAAGGCATTCACCAGAGCGATGTGGACGAGGATGACGAGAACGTAAATCAGCTCAATGAATGTTCTTCTCTTTATCGCTTGATGCAGGTTAACTTCATTGTCTTTGTTAATTACTTATTTTACCTCCCGAAAACCCTAAACCCTCAGATTTAAGATTCTTTGATCTGGCCATTCCTAGAGGATTCCTTTTCTTTATTTTTCAGGATTGTGTTGTTCGATCAAACAGGAATTGGAAAGCATGCCAGCCAGGTATCCATCTTTCACAATTTCTCTGTTCGTTTCTGCCCACGTGACATGTTATCCTCTCTAATATTGCAGTTGAGAGTGTGTATGAATGCATTGTTGGAATTCATGGAAATTTTGTTTTGGAATCCAATTAACTAATTATTTAACCTTTTTTTAATTCAGAAAGTTTAAGTTCCATAATTGTATTTGAATTAACCATCGTTGAACTCTTAACAGAAATACATGCTTTGAGGGAATGCTCTGAAAAGAGAAAAAACGTCCAAGGAAAGTAGACCTGTGCCGAAACTGAATTTGTTTTTAGCTGCTTATGAGGTTACCTTCTGTGCTTCCTAGTTCTTCTTAACAATGATGTACAAACACTTCCCTCACCAGATGAATATTTTTTAGCATAGTCAATTGAAATAATTAAGTTGAATACGGGGAAAGGGATCTTTTACATACAGAAATCTATAGGAAGCAGGGTTTTCCGATTGAAATGCCGAATATGTTTTTTGAGGTTAGAGAAATCACGTCCCTAACTTGTTTTTACTTAAATTCACTTGGCAAAACNATTATTTTAATTTATTTTCTTTTAATAAAAATATTTTAAAAATATAAATCATATTTTAATAATTATTAAAATATAAAAATACTATAAATAATATTAAAATTTAAAATTAAATTAAATAATTATTAAACTTTAAATAAAAAATAATATTTTAAAAAATAACTTTATCATCCGATAAAAAATATTTTTAACCTGGGGTTTTGATATCCGAAAGTTTTTCAAAATTTAATTTTCTATTTAAAATTTAATATTATTAATTTAATTTATATTTTAATATAATTTAATATATTGAAGTATATTTAATTAAATTTTATATTAATATTTGTTCTATTATTACTATTTTATTTTAATTATTTTAATTTTATTGTTTACATAACTATTATTATAATATATTTATATTTTAAATATTATTAAAATATTAAAGTATATTAAATAATAGTAGAATAAATTAGATAATTATGAAATTTTAAATAAAAAAATTAGAAAAATATGTTAACCGATTTGGATATCCGATTAACAATTTTTTTTAAAATTTTGTTTTTTATTTAAATTTTAGTAATTATTTAATTTAATTTACTATTTTAATATAATTTAATATATTTAAATATATTAAATCTGATATTATATTATTGTTTTTTTCTATTTTTATTTTCATTATTACTATTTTTATTTTAATATTTTTTTAATATAACTATTATAATAATAAAAACTATATTTTAGTAATTATTAAGATAAAAACGTATATTAAATAATACTAAAATTTTAAATCAAATTATATTATTATTAAGTTTCAAATCTAAAAATAAAATTTAAAAGAATTATGAATGGGATTTCGAAATTTATATATATTTTAAAATGTATTAAAGGAATACAGTGTTAAAAAGTACTTTAATAAGATGAGAAAAAATTAAAGAAAATATATTTTTTAAGGTTAGAAGTTGAACTTTTTTAAAAAATAGAGTAAAATATTTTGAAATTGTTTAATGATTTTTGACCAGATTCTTTTTAATTTTCTACAAATTAAATATATTTTTAATTAGGAACGAAGGTAATATTTTCTTAAAGTTTGAAGGGGGAGGTGAAAGGGTAGAGGTGAGGGTGAAACATCCTCTTTTGTTTTCTCTTGAGCCCACACACTCGATCATTGGGCCTTTTAATTTTTTTTTGACAATTACTTCCTGCATTCCATATTTTCTTCTTCTACCCTATCATTTCTGGAATATATTTTCTGGTATGGAGTGGAGAAGAAATTTGACCGGAATGGAGGAAGTGATTTTTTTTTTTACCAAAAACCTATTTTCTTTTCCTATATTTTTTTAGTAGTAGAGTAGGAGGAAAGAAGCTCAAGAGCGTGCCACGTGTCCTTTAATAAAATGGCAGCACGAACTCTATTTATAAAACCGAAGAGAGGGGATTCTCCCCCGAGCAGTTTGAGATCCTTCGTCGGAGAGGAACTGAGTAAGTTTTTTTTTTTTTTTTTTAATTTCTTTTTTTTTCGTCCATGTATTGTTAGGATAGGGGATTTGAAAATTTTGGTTATGAACTGAAGTGCATGATATCTTAAAAATTGAAGGTTGTTTTCTTGGAGATTCGTTTTTGTTTTGTGAAGCTTTACTTAGTTTCATGCATTCTCTTCTCGGTATTGTTTTATGAGTTTTGGTTTTTGTGAAACTGTTGCAGTTAAAATGGAGCAATTGCCGGAGAACCGGAGCGAAGCAAAACGTTTGGCGCCGCCGCAAGGCATTCACCAGAGCGATGTGGACGAGGATGACGAGAACGTAAATCAGCTCAATGAATGTTCTTCTCTTTATCGCTTGATGCAGGTTAACTTCATTGTCTTTGTTAATTACTTATTTTACCTCCCGAAAACCCTAAACCCTCAGATTTAAGATTCTTTGATCTGGCCATTCCTAGAGGATTCCTTTTCTTTATTTTTCAGGAT